CACTGTAGAGACCTCTTTGCTGGCTTGATGAAGTAAGCGGCCCTGCTGAGGAATCCCATGTGGCGGGGCACTGCAGGTGGCTTCTAGGAACTGCAAGCGGCCTCTAGCCTCCAGCCTATAAGGGCCTTTAGCCCTACAGATGCAAGGAAGTAAATTTTGCCAACAACCTGGGTGAGCCTGAAAGTGGATTCTTCCACAGTAAAGCCTGCAGATGAGAACACAGCCTGACCAACATCTTGACCGAAGCCTTGTCAGACCCTGAGAAGAGGACCCAGCTGAACTGTTCCTAGACTCTTGACTCATAGAAACTGTGGGATAATAAATGTTGTTTCAAGCCCTAAATTTGTGGTAATGTGTTATGCAGCAAAAGAAAACTACTACAGTACTCAACAGATGTTAATTGATTTAAAATGAGGTTAGGGCTACTGCCTTCTTTCTGACCAACCTCTTGGTTCTGGGCTCTTTAACCCCTGCCCCACCTCACCTGGTTTGGTACAAGAGATTCTGATTGGTCTTGCCACCCATCTTGGGATGATTCTTGGTGTCTGAAGTAGAGAGCAGCTGGTTTTTCTGCCCAACATCCATTTGCCCTGATTAGTAACAGCATCGGCATCTTCTGGGGACTGTCTCCCCCCAACTTCCAATCAGTACGCTGGCTTCTGGACACAGGGTGGGCATGTGAACCAGGCCTGCCACTAACTGGCCCAGTTACAGTCCTGTGACCCCAGCTTGGCCAATTAGAATCTTGGTTGTAATATGTAGGCTTTGGGTGAGAGAAAATTTCTTTGCTGCAATCCCGAGTGGGTATGATGTAAGCCTGTGGCTGTACCCTTCCCTAGACATAGAGAAAGCCTTTGTGCAGTAAGAGTGTTAACATGAAGAAGCAGAGTTTAGAAGAATTTGAGATATTAAGCCCCTGACTAGACCTCCCAGTTTTGTCGGCCAGTTTGAGTTAAGTTTTGGTTACTTTCAACTAGAGCTCAGACTTCCATAGTATCTTTCAGACCCTGCTTCCTAATCTATTTACCAGTGATTCCTACATCATTTATTCCGCTCCCCGAATGAGAAAAATATGCTTAAAGACGGTAATGGACTTCAGACAATACTGCACTAACTTTGTAAGGGTGTTCTTAATCACTCTACCTCCCAGATCTCTATGGCTCTAGTCCCCAAAGTTCTCCTTCCTCTTCAAGTTAGTATCTCTGTTGGAAGCATATTTAGTAAGCTGTTGTTAGGACAAGTTCTATCTTTAGATGAAATGTGGCTATTCCACCTAGTTTTTTAAAGCTTGTATCTTTGTTTCTTTCACTATCTTGTCACAGCAATCAAAATCTAGAATATATATATATATATATATATATATTTCTTTTTTGAGGAAGATTAGCCCTGAGCTAACATCTGTTGCCAATCCTCCTCTTTTTTGCTGAGGAAGATTGGCCCTGAACTAACATTTGTGCCCATATTCCTCTACTTTATGTGGGATGCCGCCACAGCATGGCTTGATGAGCGGTGTGTCAGTCTGCACCTGGGATCCGAACCTGAAAACTCCAGGCCCCTGAAGGGAGTGTGTGAACTTAACGGCTATGCCACTGGGCCAGCCCCTAAAATATATTTTTGAATCAGTTGAAATTTTACTTACAGACTTCACCTAGTTAAGTATTACATAAAAATCATTACTAAAACAATTCATTCTTTTTTTCCTGCTCTTTAACAGCAAATAAGTATTTTGAAAAAATTTTCAATTGGTCCTAAGAAAACTTGTCTTAAAAGTAATTTTTCATTAATAAATTCTACTTTTTAGAGCAGTTTTAGGTTCACAGCAAAATTGAGTAGAAAGTAGGGAGAGTTCCCATATACCCCGTCTCCATACATGAACAACCTCCTCCATTATCAACATCCTGCACCAGAGTGGTACATTTGTTACAATCGATGAACCTACACTGACACATCATTATCACCCAAAGTCCATAGGGTTCACTCTTGGTGTTGTGCATTCTACAGGTTTGGACAAATGTATAATGACATGTACCCACCATTATAGTATCATACAGAGTAGTTTCACTGCCCTAAAAATCTTCTGTGATCTGCCTATTCATCCCTCCACTGATTTTTTAGTATTCCTATAGTTTTGCCTTTTCAAAAATGTTATGGGGCCGGCCCAGTGGCATACTGGTTAAATTCTCATGCTCCACTTTGGCAGCCCAGGTTCGGATCCCAGACACAGACCTACACACCACTCATCAAGCCATGCTGTGGTGGTGTCCCACATAAAAAATAGAGGAAGATTGGCACAGATGTTAGCTCAGGGCCAATCTTCCTCATCTAAAAAAGAAAAAAAAAAAAGAATGTTTTATGGTTAGAATCATACATATGTAGCTTTCTCGGATTGGCTTCTTTCACTTAGTATTAAGCATTTAAGTTTCCATGATGTCTTTTCATGACTTGATACCTCATTTCTTTTTAATATTGAATAATATTCCACTATCTGAGTGTACCACAGTTTATTCACCTACTGAATGACATCTTGGTACCTCCAAGTTTTAGCAATTATAAATAAAGATGCTATAAGCATCCATGTGCAGGTTTTTGTGTGGACATAAGTTTTCAACTCATTTGGGTAAATACCAAGGAGCACAACTGCTGGATCAAGTGATAAGAGTATATTTAGTTTTGTAAGAAACTGCCAAACTGTCTTCCAAAGTGACTGTATTATTTTGCATTCCCAGCAGCAACGTATGAGAGTTCCTGTTGCTCCACATCCTCATCAGCATTTAGCGTTGTCAGTGTTCCAAATTTTGGCCATTTTAATAGGTGTGTAGTGGTATCTCTTTGTTGTTTTGATTTGCAATCCTCTAATGACATATGATGTTGAGTATCTTTCCATATGCTTACTTGCCATTGGTATATCTTCTATGGTGAGGTGTCTGTTCAGATCTTTTGCCCATTTTTTTAAAAATCAGGTTGTTTGTTTTCTTATTGTTGAGTTTTAAGAGTTCTTTTTATAATTTGGATGAGTCTTTTATGAGATGTGTCTTTCGCAAATATTTTCTCCTAGTCACTAGCTTGTCTTCCAGTTCCCTTGATTAAAGTAAGTTTAAGGAATGTAAATATTAACATTTATGTATAACTCAACTGGATCCAAAAAATTTAAGTTGGGCTAAATGTTTAACACAAACTAATATTTAATAATAATCAGTTTATGTGTACAATACTTAGTATTACTTAATGTGTTTCTCTTAAGCTGGAAGTACTGTTACTCCTATAATTTAGTATAACATAAGTATATTTTCTTCTGATTTTTAAATTATGTACAGATATTGGTCACAGAAATAAATTCAGTTTAAGGAGTAATATATTATAAATTTCCCTCAAACAATATATTAAATATTAAAACTGCATTAAAGAAAATAGCACTTTCAAAACTGCAATTAAATTGTTTAAAGAGAACACAATTCCCACTGGATGAAAGATATATATATAGCAACACTATGCTGTAAACATGCTTTTGAAAATATGCAATGTGTTGTTCACATTTAATTCATATAATTATACGCCATTATATGAAGAAGAATGTTTAATTGAAACAAGCAACAAATATTTACTTAGTACAAAGTTTATTCACATGTATAAAAAGTGTCTGTAATAGGAAATCCATTAAAACCACAACATAATCAAGGCTGTAGGAAAAACATGCATTTAAGAAAATGGGTTACTTCTTCCAGATAATGAAAATACTGATATGTTGGTACTAGATTGCCTTAAACTCTTTAAACTGTTAGAGAAACACTTTAAACAACAAAACAACGTTGGAGGAAACACACAATACAGAAATTTGAAGGCATCAATATACGTCATACATGTTCCAAAGTGCCACATAGGCAGGATCTACAAAAGAATCTAGCTTTTAAAAAAAAAAATTACAGAAATTTTAGTCATTCCTCTAATAGTAGAAATGCCATACACAACATTTCATATGAAACTAATAGCTAATAAAAATTTAATTCACATTCAATTAGAACAAAAATAATATGAATAATATGAAATTGAGCTTTTAAACAGCACTAACAAACCTTTTCTCATTAAAAAATTCTTTTGTACATTTAGGAAAAGTATACACACACAAAAATTATCTGAGAAATAGAAAAAATTGATTAGAATTTTATAGGCAGAGGGGAAACCAAAGACACAGAGGACACTGTTGCTCCAGTTTTCAATTGTTCTGAGTTGTCACACTCTCTGTGAATTCACTCAGAGGCCACGTTATTAACAGATGCAAAACTTTGACACAATCAGAGCTGGTGCTCTCTTTAATTTTCTTCATTTTGAAGAGAATATTCTGTGTAGAATCATCTATCCTATGAAGGTATAACCTTATAAATGTTTTCATCTTTTTCTAGTCCAATTCCCTTTTTATACTCACATTCCATTCATTTCCTGATTGTAATAGAGGAGAAAACTGATCTAATTAAACATAAAACATTGTGTCAAAACAGATCTAATGGTTAACACTAATCAGTTGCCTGGGGAAGAAGCACCAAAAAAACAGATCAATCAAACAAAAAGATTCACCACCAAAAGTACAACAGGAATAGAAAAGGGTAAACGAAAGCGAAATATATGGCACTAACTTTACATTGAGATATTTTCCTTTCAATTGTTATAAGCATTTGTCAATTATGTTTCTACCACATTTTCCTTTTTATATGTAAAATGTCATGAGCTCAAAACTGGAAGCTCTACAAATACCAGTGATTTCACAATCTTGATGAATTCTAGATTCGCTCTAGTTAGAGCAACCGTTTTATACGACAAATCGAGGCTGCTGCTGGGGGAGGGGTGGGGGAAGGGTGGTGGAGGCGCTGAAGGTGGCTCTGTGGTTAGACTCTGTGAGTCAACGGGGTAAACAAGTTCATGGAATATTTCAAATTATGATTCAATAAAAGATACATCATATCTTATATTTCCATTCATCCTAAGAGATACATATGCATGTGAGAATACATACACATTTATGTATATATCACAAGTGCTCATAAATTTCTTATACAGACAGAATTAAGTAATAAGATCCTTGGATTTTGTCATTTGAGACAGTCTAAATGTATAGGTATGTGATGGGCCTAGAAAAGTGTGCTTGCTCATTTTAAACCTAGCTCTCACCAATGTGTTAGATTTTGGGCAAGTTATCCTTCTCTGCCTTAGTCTGATCGTTATGAAGTGGGCAAAGTAGAGTTTGCCTCTGACCTTTTAAAGAGGATTAAAATAAGTGCAAAGTGCAAAGTTACATGAGAAAAAGTGCTCTGTAAAGCCAAGATACGACTAATAGTAAATTTTTATACGTAATATAGGTGGCTTCAAAAAGACCCCTTTCCTAATTATATCTAAATGTTGCTAAACGATTTCTTTGCAATAAACAACCGAAGAGACTCTGCAAATCTGAAAGGATGACGTCTTTGGCCGTCTGTAATGATTAAGGTCTTGCTTTTACAAGCCTTAAGATCATGCTGTCTTAAAGGAGAGATATGCACTCACACACACACTGTAATATGATTTATACTTTCTAAACATTTAATTTGGAAGGAATTATCAAATGCATGTAGGTTTTAGTTGCACCTCTGTAAAAATTCTAAAGCAAAATACAATTTTATAAATGGTCTTAAATAATAGGAAAATGCAACGCCTGGCAAAAACATAAAGAACAGAATTTTCTCACGAGTATGTTATTTCTTGAGCTGCAAAGAGAAAACAAATTCACATGTACATACACACCCACCCACTTAAGCTAGCACACACATGCACACTCCAGAGGTTGATAGCTAACACGCTACTACATTCTTAAGGAGGCTGGTCATACACACGATTAGAAGAGACAAGTATAGGTTAAAATGATTACCTATGGTGTTTTGTGTCTAGACATTAAGAGATACAAGGGGTTGCTGGTAACTTTAATCAGTATTATTTTAATAGCAGAAAAGTAAATTACTTTTTCTAGGTTCTCAAACTATTATTTATAAACTTCAACAAATTTTCAAGATAAATAATTATATATAGTTATATATATAGATAACTTAGCAATGAAAATGGATGCGTCTTTTCGCCAGTAAAACGGGCAACTTTACCAAGTCCTAGTCACTCCTAGATCTGAGGCTTCTTTATTTGATTGTATAACAACCCTTGAAAATCCTTGCTATTGCAACACTGTACCGTCTGAAGAACTAACTCTCTAGCAAATGGTTGTTTTTTTTTTTTTAAAAAAGGAAACTACTGACCCCACTCCCCATAATGAAACATGACTAATGGCAAGAGTTAACAACCAAAAGCAGCAAAATATGATGAATGTTACTCAATAATTAAAATGTAAAACCAAGTGATTATATTAAGGACATCAATTTATATTGAAAATCAAATTCTGTGAAGTATTTCCAACCAAAAAGAAATCCTAATAAAGAATGGGTCCAATATTATGACTTGGGATAATCTAATGATTAGAAATTCTCACTTTTTTATATTCAACACAAGAAATCTACAACATTTATCTGTACAAAGGATACAGACAGTTCACCAGTTCTAGCTATGACATCATAACACAGATTTTCTGAACCATTAAAATAGACAAAAAAAGTATTCTTTTCTTAACTGCAAGGATATGGAGTCAAAGTTTCTTATCAAGCGGATAATGATCAAGTTCAGGTTCAAGATGCCGACAGGACTTCTGCGGTGTGGTACAGGTGCTTATTCCTCCTTTACTCCCTGCAGTTTGTCATAACGGGCTGAACTGACATGTCTTTATTGGTTTAGGGAGAATGAATCATTTAAATAACATGAATCTCCTATACCACCAAGACAGCAAGGCGGCTCAGTGAGATGGGAGCGACATAGACTTTTTAAACACCCTAAATCCTTTTGTTGGCCCAGGATATGGTGGCGGTGGTGAAACATTATGTTTTCTGGTCAGTGCCATTGCCTGTTCATAAGAAGGTAATCCTGTGTCCTCCACTGAAGGTGGTGATGGACACAAGACAGCTTCCTCAGGTCTTCTGAAAATGATGGAGGGAGCGTGCCTGCCCCTTCTTATACAGGTGGCTGAAGAACTAAACAAAGAGACAGCATTTAAGTCTAGGAAACATAGCATTTTTAGGTTAAGATGTCAATATTAAAAAACCCAACTGACTATTTTGATAAAAGTTGAACCCAATTTACTAATATAACAACAGTTGTATTTAACCCACTAACTCTGAAAGACTCTTGATGTAGTGGAAAGATCAAGAGCTTTGAAGTCAGACATGGGTATGAAACCACATCGCATCATTTCATAGCTGTGTGACCAAAGGCAGGTTACCTAACTCAGTTTCCTTCTCTGTAAAATGGGGATAATAAATAGCTACCTCAGCAGAGGTGCTTTGTGTGGACTGAGAAAGATGTTGGATGTAAAGCATCTAAGCAGTGTCTGGCACACTATACCAAGGACTTAAAACATGCCGATTCCCCTTTTTCCCCACTCCTGAATTAAAACTTCCTCAAAGTGTGATGTGAAATCAAATCCAGGCTTTGCTGTAAGCAGCACAACTCAAGCCAAGGAAACTGAAGCCACAGAGACGATCCCAGCAGCAGATGCCTGTTTCTCTCCTCTGTCCTCCTGCAGTCCTGCTGCCTGGTCCTGCCCTCCTAACTACCTCTACCAGCTCACTCTTCTCCACAAGTCTAACCTGCTGTCTGCTTTCCACTGAATCAACTTCTAACTCCTGTGCCTCCTTTTCAAAGCCTCCCTTATTTTGGCCTTGCCTTATTTTCTATAGCTCTCTGCTCTTTCCCAGGTAGACTCTTTATACTCCTCCATATATGCAATGAATTCTCTGTCCCATCTCTGCTTTCTCTGATGTTGTTCCCTTTCTCAGATTATTGTCTTTTCCCTACTCCATTGATCTGAGCTCAACAATTTTTTTTTAATATGGCCTAGTTCAAATCCCACATTTTCACAAAACTTTGTCAGCTACACCAGCCAATAGAAACTGAAATCAACACAAGCTTGGTGTTTTGAACCTAGATTTTCCCTTCTCACTTGCAAATGAAAAATTATAATTTAAACATTAGTAAATCAACCTGTTTAGACCGTGAGGCTGACTGTCTATGAAGTACCTATACATAAAATAACCTCTGATAGTTATGGCTAATAAGATAATTAAAATTCATAGGTAATCCCCAACCTCTAGTCATCATTTACAATATTCTTCCCAACAACAGAAAGTTTAGCAGACTCAAAATACTGTAAACTTTTCCAAACTAAATCAGTCAATTTGCCCCTTAGAACATCTTTTCCCTTGGAGGTAATAATGAAATCTGAAATTGGAGTAAAGGAGACAGGAAAATTGCAGAGAGAGAAGAAAAGAAAAAGATCTGTGTAAATCTAGGAACTGGATAATCAGCCCTTAGATAGTCGAGAGATGACGAGAGCATCCTATGTCTACTTAGTGGGTTTGATGCAATTTCTCCTCTTCAGAAATCTGGAATATATTCCCGGCAGGTGTCTTGACATGAGTACAGCCATGTTTGGCCGTTGCATGAACCTACAGCCACCAACACACAAAGAAATATAAAGCGGCTTTCTGTGTGGTGGGAACTGGACCTTCTCCCCCAGAGACAGTTGCAATTTGTAAGATGACAAGACTCTTTGGGCGTCATAGCCTGGGATGGACTGGCCGTCTGTGCTGGGCTAGGACGATAACCAAGGAGCTCAATGAACATACACAACTGATAACCATTTGTGCATGAGAACACCAAATGCTTACTCTGGAGATTACTCATACTATATAAGCTGCTGGAAACTGAGGCCTAATGCGAGTTTCGCCTGTTGGGGGGGGCGCCTTGCCCAGGACCTCTTTCGATTGGCACTCCCACCTAGCCGTGTCAGTTCAAAGGACTCTCCTCGGTGTAATGGTGTGGATGTTGTAAGTACCCGATGCGATGTTTCTCTCTCAATCGATCTGATGTTTCTCTTTTTCGATCGATCTGATGTTGTTTCCTCTTTTTATTGACATATTTGGATGTTATAAGTACCCAGTCTGATGTTTCTTTGTATATAGCTACTTCTTGTATTCTCCATGTCTATTTGCTAACTTTCGCCTTTACCCTTCCCTATATAATAATGTGTGCACTCAGTCCATTCGTTTGGGTTGGAAAGTTCCTTTTTACGTCTCCAATCGAATCCACTGAACCTCTTACAACAGCAGGCTAGTCACTTGCCACCTTCGCTAACTTGTGACGAAAAGCTCTATTTGTTTATAGGGAACAGGAGAGACAGATGTTTTATTTGAACAAATAAATTTTTCCATGTTGACTTTCAAAATTTAAGATATAAAAACCACATAATAATGACATCAAAAGTCATTAAATATCTACACAGTGATTTCTTACATACATCTTAAATGACTGACATCTCAACATCTCAAATAAACTGACATCACATTATGCCTATTTTCCTCCATAAAATATAGAAACTAAGAAACGAAAAGATCTTGTTTCTCATTTCTTGGCATGTTTTTACAGAGGAATGAAACAAACTTTTCTGACAATGATCTTATTTTTCACTCTTTTCTTTCTCAAATATTCCCTCCCCTCCCCCTTCTTCTAGACTTGCAAAATATAGAAAGAGAACAAATAACTCTGCTGGAAGAATTTCTTGGGACAATAGATGAAAAGTACTTTCGTAAGTATTTAAAAGTTAATCCCAACATAAGAGAATGTCTAGTAAACCTAGTTTGAAATGTCCCCTAAAACTCAGCAGGCTGCTGTGAGGATCAAAGTGAGACAACAGATGTAAAATGATCTGTGAACTGCACAGCACTTTACTGTACTGACATTAACATACTAATCCTACTTTTAAAATAAGAGATATCCAGAGTTTTTAAATTTTACAGTACTATACACAGAAAACATGCATAATAATGGTAACTCTTGGCTCCCCGTGTCTTTGAATTCTGCTTCTACCCTCATGCAGGGAAGAAGCTAGAAGGTTTCAGAGAAAAAGGCCATAAGGTAAGAAAATGTAGTGATGCAGAAAAGTAGAAAAATCAGAAGAAGAGAGAAGAATATGTCAAGCATGAGGACACCGAACAACGGCTGTGCTATCACAGACTTCAAGTGAAATTATTAAACACGAGGGCATACATGAACTTTTTTTGAAAAACATTATGAATGTGGTGGAAAAGAAGGAAAGATAAAAGGCAGGAAGAGTCTCCAAAGATAAATTTTGCCTATTTCTTCATTAACCTGTGAGTTTGCAGGACTCCCTCAGCTGGTGGAGAAAAACACACCAAATAAAATCTTAGTCAAAAGTCCTAGAAAATGGAAAGACCTTCCTATCTGTTAAATAAGAGAAATTAATAGAAGTCTCTCAGCTTAAAAGATAGTGGCTTAAGAAAAATTAAACAAATTCTTCCTTCTTTTCTCTCACTTCTCAAATTTTTACAGGATTTACAGAGGTCTCTGACAAACTCCTTAGTCCACGCCCATAGGCCCCGTTAATGCCTCAGGGAGCTGTCCAGGATTCCAGCTTGGGGGCAGAATTACAATTTATGTTGCCCCATCCTTTGCCCTCCCGCTGGCATGTCTTCTCTCCGCTCTCTACTGTAGGCATCCCTCACGGCTCCGTGCTTGGCCTTCCGTCCTCATCACACTCAGAGAACCTGCCTACTCTCACGGCTGCAGCTTTTATCCTCCAACAGATGAATCCTAATTCCACCTCTGTCGCCCTAAACTCTTACCTTAACAATAAAGAAAACATTTTTATTGTGGTAAAATATATACAACATAAAATTTGCCATTTTAACCACTTTAAATTGTACGATTCAGCAGTATTAATTACATTCACAATGTTGTGCAACCATTACCACCATCTATTTCCATAAACTTTTCATCACCGGGTCACCATCATGAGCTTATTCACAGAATGTTAAACTGTGAATAGGGATATATAAGCACCCATTTCAAATAGCCTGTTTAGCACCTGGTGCTTTTTTAGAATAAGGTTATTTCTACACTTACTCATCTATACTTACTGAGAAGATAATATACATGGAAGATAATAACTTTTTATATTCATGAAGATGTTGAGGTTCTATTATGCAAACAATTCTGGCCTTTATGAATCTTTATCTTTGCTATTTTCCTCAAGTGGCAACCATTTTATTTTATTCATTTTTACTTAAAGTATCAATAAAAATAGCTAAATTTGAAGGCTAGTTACACTGTTTCTATTTGGGTAGCCACATAGCCAGATCTGTTAATACTGTGACTCAGAGTAACTCAGGGACTTCTTGCCTCTGGAAATAATGTGGGGACATTACTATCTGCCTCTTGCTTAAGAAGGAAGTATTGAAAAATCAAGCTGACATTTGTGAATCTTCTTGCTTTCTTTTGAAGGACCTTAGAAATAGCATCAATAAGTTGTTTATGTAAGTGTTAAATTAGGCAACCAAACACCTTTCAGAGACAGGGGACATTGGGGAGACATGACAACTAAACGCCACGTGGTATGGTGACTGGATCCTGCAGCAGAAAAAGGGCACTAATGGGAAAACTGGTGAATCTAAATAAAGTCTGGAGTTTAGTTAATAGTAACGTACCAATGTCAGTTTTTTAGTTTTACAAATGTACCAGGGTAATGTAAGATATCAGTGAGGGAAATGTGGTGAAGGATATACAGGAACTCTCTGAGCTGTCCACGCAACCGTCCTGTATATCCACGATTGTTCCAAAACAAAATGTTTTTTTAAAAAATAGGCATCCTAAAATAACAGTATAGAACATATAATAGTGAACTAAGTATTTTTACTGGTACTTACCCTGGATGTCGTTGCCTGTTACACTTAGTGATACAAAGATAGTAACCAAGTAGTCCAAAAATAACCAAAAATACTCCAGCAGCAATTAATCCAGTCAGAAGGCCCATAACATCGATTTTCTCTCTGTTACCATCTTAAGAGACATTATTAAAATAACATCAATATAAACATCTATGAAAAGTACCATCTATGATTTCAATAAATTTAACACTGGGTCTAAGCACATTATAAAGCACCTAATAATTAATATTGATTTATTTTAGAAGTCTTTGTGCTAAAGACATGACCTGAAACATTTTTAAATAACATTTCCTAAAAGCCCTAAGTAAGGTTTCATTTATTTCAAATGGGTCGTAATAAATGGGCAATATTCAAGACTCAGTGGGGTAAACATAGTCTTTGTTCAACCAGACACACTTGGTATTAACTGCGGAGATAAAGGTATCGAGGAGCTGCGTGATGCTGCCTCCCCACATCTGGGCCCTACCCATGGGAATGAAAGTCCACGTGACTAAAAACAGCTAGAGACGCTCACTACAGATAAAATAAAGGATCTCCACTCTCTAAAAGCTGCTTAATTCTATCTAACAATCTTAATTACCGAGTAGCATAAGTATTCCATTCCCTTGTGATGGTAAAAAATAAATAAATAAATAAATAGTTCACCACTTGCACGAATGGAGCCCTCCTTCTATTCTTTTTTTTTTTTAATTTTTTTTTTTGTGAGGAAGATCAGCCCTGAGCTAACATCCGTGCTAATCCTCCTCTTTTTGCTGAGGAAGACCGGCTCTGAGCTAACATCTATTGCCAATCCTCCTCCTTCTTTTGTTCCCCAAAGCCCCAGTAGATAGTTGTATGTCGTAGTTGCACATCCTTCTAGTTGCTGTATGTGGGACGCGGCCTCAGCATGGCCGAAGAAGCGGTGCGTCGGTGCGCGCCCGGGGTCCGAACCAGGGCCGCCAGTAGCGGAGCGCGCGCACTTAACAGCTAAGCCCTGGGGCCGGCCCCCTCCTTCTATTCTGTACAAGTCTTGACTTAGCTGAACTGTTCAAAACAGCTTTAAGCCTATTATCTCATTTCCCCAGTATCTCACCAAACTTGATTTTCAGTGTGTAAATAGATGAATGTGGCCTTCTCTGTCTTAGATAGCCCAGCGTGTAATTGAGAAATCTTCCTCAGATGTACAAGGTATGTATATTGAGCAAGAACCAAACACAAACAATGAAACTAAAAATGTAATATAATAGAGAAAGGGTGGGAAAAACATTAAATTTGATCAATTCTTGCCTTACCTGATTTTGTGTTTAGTCCTTTAATCGAATATTCCTGCCAAAATGTCATCTAAGAAAAAGGTAAAAATTTCCAAGTTTATTTAATTTCTTTATTATCGTTTCATTTGGTCCCAATGACCTAGACTAGGGGTGGTAAATTCTTGGCATGTGCCCCGGGTAGGGTAACAGTTCACTCAAGCTGGAGGGTGTGAGTCACTCTAATTAAAGCACTGCCACCCACCACTCTTTCTCCCACCTCTGGAACTGGTCAGAGGATTAGTGCCAGTGCCAGCTCTCTATTGTGCCCCAATGTTCTCCCTTCACCTGCCCAGAGCCCCCAGTCAGGCATCAGGGATACTCGCATTAGAGTCGGTGAAAGTACCAAAGGTGCAAGTTGAGGCAGTGGACTCATTATCGTGGTTGAAAAGGAGTCTGAAGTTTCTTGCACTGGGTGGGCCCTCAGTTTGCTAGGAGATTCTTTTTTTTTTTGTGAGGAAGATCAGCCCTGAGCTAACATCCATGCCAAGCCTCCTCTTTTTGCTGAGGAAGACTGGCCCTGGGCTAACACCCCTGCCCATCTTCCTCCACTTTATATGGGACGCTGCCACAGCATGGCCTGACAAGTGGTGCATCGGCGCATGCCTGGGATCCAAACCCGGGCCGCCAGCAGCGGAGTGCGGGCACTTAACCGCTATGCCATGGGGCTGGCCCTGCTAGGGGATTCTATTGAGAGGTATTTATCAATTTGGAAAGACATCCCTGAGACTGTTTACATTCAGTGTTACTTGAGAGAATGGAAGTGGATTTTAAGGGACCTTGATAAAAGTAGAAAAAGAGTTTGTGAAACAACACATCTATAGACAGCTAATCTTCGACAAAGGAGCCAAGAACATACAATGGAGAAGGAATGTCTCTTCAGTAAATGGTGTTGGGAAAACTGTACAGCCAACGCAAAAAAATGAAAGTAGAACATTATCTTACACCACACACAAAAATTAACTCAAAATGGATTGAAGGGGCCAGCCCGGTGGCACAAGCGGTTGGGTGCACGCGCGTTCCTGTGGGGCGGGCTGGGGTTCTCTGGTTCAGATCCTGGGCATGCACCAACGCACCACTTGTCAAGCCATGCTGTGGCGGCGTCCCATATAAAGTGGAGGAAGATGGGCATGGATGTTAGCCCAGGGCCAGTCTTCCTCAGCAAAAAGAGGAGGATTGGCAGATGTTAGCTCAGGGCTGATCTTCCTCACCAAAAAAAAAAAAAAAAGGATTGAAGACTTGAATGTAAGACATGAAACCATAAAACTCCTGGAAGAAAATGTAGGCAGTACACTCTTTGGCATTGGTCCTAGCAGCATTTTTTCGAATACCTTATCTACTCAGGCATGGGAAACAAAAGAAAAAATAAACAAATGGGACTACATCAGACTAAAGAGCATCTACAAAGCAAAGGAAACCATAAACAAAACGAAAAGACAACCCACCAACTGGGAGAAAATATTTGCAAATCATATATCCAACAAGGGGTCAATTTCCAAAATATATAAAGAACTCATACAACTCAACAACAAAAAAACAAACAACTCAATCAAAAAATGGGCAGAGGGGCCAGCCTGGCGGTGTAGTGGTTAAGTTTGAGCACTCTGCTTTGGTGGCCTGGGGTTCGCAGGTTCAGATCCCGGGCGTGGACCTACACACTGTGTATCAAGCCATGTTGTGGCAGGCGTCCCACATATAAAGTAGAGGAAGATGGGCACAGATGTTAGCCCAAGGCCAATCTTCCTCAACAAAAACAGGAGGATTGGCAATGGATGTTAGCTCAGGGCTAATCTTCCTCACCAAAAAAAAATAAAATAAAACAGGCAGAGGATATGAACAGACATTTTTCCAGAGAAGATATACAGATGGCCAATGGACACATGAAAAGACCTTCAACCTCACTAATTATTAGGGAAATGCAAATCAAAACTACAATGAAATATCACTTTACACTGGTCAGAATGGCTATAATTACCAAGACAAAAAATAACAAATGTTGGAGAGGATGTGAAGAAAAGGGAACCCTCAGACATTACTGGTGGGAATGCAAATTGGTGCAGCCACTATGGAAAACAGTATGGAAATTTCTCAAAAAATTAAAAATAGAAATACCATGTGATCCATACTGGGTATTTATCCAAAGAACTTGAAATCAACAATTCAAAGAGACTTATGCACCTCTATGTTCATTGCAGCATTATTCACAATAGCCAAGAAGTGGAAGCAACCCAAGTGTCCATCAACTGATGAATGGATAAAGAAGATGTGGTATATATACACAATAGAATACTACTCAGCCATAAAAAAAGACAAAATCATCCCATTTGCAACAATATGGATGGACCTTGAGGGTATTATGTTAAGCAAAATAAGCCAGACAGAGAATGACAAACACTGCATGATTTCACTCATACGTGGAAGATAAACACGTGGATAAAGAGAACAGATTAGTGGTTACCTGAGGGGAAGGGGGATGGGAGTGGGCAAAAGGGGTAAAGGGGAACATAGATAGGGTGATGGATAAATATGAGACTATTGGTGGAGAGCACAGCGCAGTCTATAAAGAAACTGATAAATAATAATTTACACCTGAAATTACAGAATGTTATAAAGTATTATGACCTCCATAAAATAATTGGAAAAAAAAATGGGTTTGTGAACAACAGAATAAAATCTCAAGAGCACAACTAAAAAGTACAGATTCTGGGGGCCGGCCCGGTGGCGCAAGCGGTTGGGTGCGCGCGCTCTGCTGCGGCGCCCGGGGTTCGCTGGTTCGGGTCCCGGGCGCGCACCGACGCACTGCTTTGGCAAGCCATGCTGTGGCGGCGTCCCATATAAAATGGAGGAGGATGGGCACGGATGTTAGCCCAGGGCCGTCTTCCTCGGCAAAAAAAAAAAAAAAAGAGGAGGATTGGCGGATGTTAGCACAGGGCTGATCTCCTCACAAAAAAAAAAAAAAAAAAAGTACAGATTCTGTTTTCTTCTCCAACACATGTGGCTGATATTAGCAGGGAATGGGAGGCTGGGCACAGTTTGGAAGAAAAAAGAACTAAGTTCCACTAACACCTGCATTTGAAGGACACCTAGAGAGGTTCTTATCGACCAAAGAGTAAAATGGGACTCTTGAGGAAGGAATAATGAGCTGGGGGTATTTAATCTACAAAAGCAAAGAATTTGGGTCACTTAATATTCTTCAAGAATATGTCAAATTACAACAGGGACAATGCTGTCTGTTTTTTACCTTTTCAAGATGAACAGACAGGATTTAATTATATTTTAAGAGAGAACTTCTAAAAGTTTTTCTCTTAAGTTACACAGATAGACCAAACAACTCCTGAATGCAAGGACCACATATTTCGTATCCTCAGTCTCCAGCAGAGAACTTGGCACATAGCAGAATGTCAACAAATACTTGAAATATAAACCTGGAAATCAAAAAAGGTCAGGTCACTGATAGGAGAAATTGCTCTGAGTCTTGAATGATTGAAGCCTGAGTCAGAGAGGTAACTCAAATAATACCCTGAAGTTTAATTCACTCTGCTTCATGATTGTTCTTGAATATAATAAACATTAAACTCACAAAATCACAACATAATTGATAATTTGCTAATTACTATAAGCCCAGTTAATTAAGTATAAAGCCAAATCTAAATAGGTTAATTAGCATTTTAAGGAAGTAGAAAGAGATAACAGATATATAATCCTGATTTTTATTTAAAGCATAAATAAGTGTCATTTCCTTAAGGATAATTTAATAAATTTTCAGCCAAGTAACATCATCAACCAAATTACCGTTTTATCTTCATCCACAAAAATCTCTCTGGCTTCCTCATAATTACAAAGTTCTTCTTTGCACTCTCTCTCCAGGTCCCCGGGAGTGAAGAGTTCCAAATCAAATCTATTATACAGGAGGTGTCTACGTATGAAAAAGTTTGCTTCTTCTTTTGATGTAAAGACTAATAAAGAAATGGAAAGATTTCAAAGATCAATAAAAAATAAGGCAGAAAATTCCTGTTTTAACTGTGGAAAAAGTGAATAGTTCTCTTGATGTGGTTAAATTACATCAAAGTTTCTTGTATGATTTTAAAATCTGACAAAAAGAAATAGCACCAGTAAAAATAATTTCAGCTAAATATGAAATACAAGTATTAGCATAACTCCAAAAATACTTGAGTTGATTATTATGTCCAAAATTATTAGCATAAATGAAATTATTTAAATATTTTTCCCTCTGGACAATTATTTTTCCAACAAATGACAAGTCAGACTATTCTATTTCTAAAAGGTTGGTTCCCTATGATCCTGACTGAGAAAAATCAGTCTGGTGTAATGGACACTGTTGGACTAAGTGAGAAGACAGAGTCTTGGTTGCGATTTGGCTCAGCTATCTGCTGTGAATAGGGATAAGTCACTTATATCTCTGGGGTGCCATTTCCTCATTTGTAAAACTGGGAAATAAACCAAATAATCACTAAGATCTCTTTATGTTTTAAAATTATAAATTAATGCATTCACATTAAAATTGTTATATCAAGTTTACACTAAAACATAAAATTCTAAACTTCTAAGTTAATAAAATTGTAAGTCAATTATAAGATTAATTAAAAGACATTCAGCGCCTCCCAAAGGAGTAGCTCCCTCCACCCATCCCCCAAATATGTTCCACAGTTCTTTACAAGATGCCCTCTGCATGTGCTGGGAAGGTAAACGGTAAACACAACAGAGTAAAGCACAGGTTGACACAAAAGCAAAATATCCCACCGTGGCACTATTTCCAAAACCCGCAAACTTAAAACTCCTTCTGGAGGCACACAAACAAAGCTTAAGTGATCTTGCTCCAACCAGATCACGTTACCGAGACTGGAATTCAGAAACTCTCTGAGAATTACATCAAAACGCTTAAAAGAATTAAGTGTTGGTATTTCTCACTGCTAACCATTCCTAAAGGAAGACTGTATTAAAGTGGGCAACTGAAAGGCAGCCCAAGGCTGACAGAGAGCAGGGCCTGGAAGACTAATCTTGATACTGTCTTGTGAGTGACAGTCATGGCTTATCCAAGATATTTTTTCTACTAATCAATCACCTTTCCAAACAGGTCTGAATCTTAGAGAGCTGTTTTGTCCAACACAGTAGCCACGAGCTACAGATGGCTATTGAGCACTTGAAATGTGGCTGGTCTGAACTGACATGTGCTGTAAGCATAAAAAATACACACAGGAATTCAAAGACTTAGTTTAAAAAAAAAAAAAGAATACGAAATATCTCAATGTTTTATATTGCTTATATTTGGAAATGATATTTTGGATATATTGGGTCAAATTAAATAATTATCAAAATTAACTTCACTTGTTTTTACTTCTTTTACTGTAGCTATTTAAAAATTTCAAATTATTTTTGTGGTTCCCATGATGTTTCTATTGGCCAGTGCTCTTCTATAAATAACATAGATGGGCTATTTGAACCACAGAATAGGATAACTGGTGATGGTTGTTTTAAGAAATATTTTAAAAGATCAGTGTGATGGAATATTTCTGTTCTTTCTTCTTCCTGTCTTCTTGTAGATTTTAGGCTACCACCAAATGGTGACAGAATGAACGTTCTTCCGAGTCTCCATCATCTCTCATGGGATTCTGGCAGTGGCTCTCTGAGGGGTCTCCTTGATCCTCCAAGTCTGTGTTGAACATCCCGTTGTAGCTACACTGGCTTCCAGCTCGCCTGGCTCTCTCCTTCCTTTGCTCGTGCTGTTTCCTCTGAATAGAACTTTCTTCTTTCCATTGCTCTCAGCTCCTTTAGCATTTTGCTCAATGTTACCCTATACCTTCTATACTTCGTTTTTCCCCATGGCACTTGTCACCACCTGGTGTTCTATGTTTTACTATTTGCTGCGACTATTCCCCTCACTAGAAGGAAAGTTCCTTTAAAGTAGGGATCTTGGTGCCTAGCACATAAGCAGTGCTCAAAAAATTACTTACTAAAAGAATGAATGAACTCAACTTTCCTGGAGTGGGAAGAAACTCTTGGACCTAAATTCTACCAGTTGAAGCAATTCATAGGTATAGTCTGATGTTACTCAGTTTGGCATAGGTTTAAAATACTAAACCAGTGATGAAGCAACTCACAGCCTGCCTAACTTAGCTATACTTTCTAATTTCAGAATGGAGAATTAGAAATTCGCCTCTGTATTGCTACTTTTCAGATACGCCCAGATCTTTACATTTTATTGCCTAAAAAAGCAGTGCCAAATTTCTCATTGTCGGTCTTCTGTTCAAGTAGGTTATCTGAGTTATGAACATACCCTCCGCCCTCCAAATGGGACTCAATACAGCTACTTTCAACTTGGAAAGAAAATGAAAAAGGAAATCATGAACATTTTTATTATGCCTGAAATGATATTTATGCCAATAAAAGTTCTCCCCCCTGTACTAAATGTGCCTCCCAGGGGCTGCTGTTTGCCACTTTCCCTGAAAGCTCCCATTCTGTGGTTGACCTTAGACTTAACCTTTAGTGCCTCATCACTCTTCCCTGCCTCCCTTATCATCTCAGGAGAAATACTCTCCTCTGTTATTTGGGTCCTAAGTAACTCTGAATTTGCTTATAATTGAAAGAAGCCAACTTCCTTGGCCCTGGAGCATCCTAAACTCCCAGCCAGAGTCCCTATGTTCCCTCCGGCCAACGCTGGAGGATACGCTGGCCTTTCCACTTATGTATCTGCCTCCTCAGGTTCTCTTCCCATCTCCATTTCTCCTGTCTTAGACCACTCTAAGAGGTTGTTTGTGCATTTCACTATTTCAAACCCATCCCCGCCACCCCCTGATATTCCATTCTCATCCTCTCTCCTGTTTCCCCATGTTTTCTAAATAAATTGCTTTTGGGGCATTTGAACTCCACCCCTGGGCTTTATCAGAATGTAGCTGAAGGTCCCTTATTTTCCTAGTTACTTTTCACATCTCCATTTACTGTACCTCATTTGCAGACAGAGAGCATTGGCTTCTGTGCCACACAACTTTCCCAAGATAATCACTAGAACTCACTCTTTCCTCTGCTCTCAAGCTCTGCTTCTACCTCTGTCATAGAGTTTATAGAGATCATGTTTATACCCTGCCTCCCCCACCAAATGAAGAGGTCCTCCAGGGCAGGGATCACAGGCTTTCATTTCTACATCTCCAGTACCTAGCATAGGGCCTGGCACATAGTATGTGTTAATAAAGTGGTTAATAACTGAACAAATTGGCTTTTTAAATATATAGGATCCCTTATTTACATTTCCCACACATATCTCCAGCCTTCTGCACTCAAGTATGATCTCTAAATTCCTTCCTCCGTTTGTGATATTCTTGAGAGTGTCTTTTATGCCTGTGTCATGTGAATGAATGAATACACTCACAAGCATTCCTGGGATCAGCATCTAGTCCCACTGTGTATGGACTATCAACCTTGTATATGAGTGGACTTACATATATGGTACAACTTGAGAGGTACCAAGAAGGATCTCCTTCCAAAATCTCTCCTTATTCCACTAGTTAGCCTATGCAATTGCCTGGAATTCTGCCATCAGGGTTTGATTCTTTTGGGTTAATATATTGCCCTATCTTAAAATACACACTCTCTCCTAGAAGGTTTAACACACTAGGCTGTATTAACCATTAATAAGTCATCCAGGAGTATGAATGTAACACATCCTTCCCAATGAAAATGAGCTGAGAGTGGGATCCGATGAGAAGGAATAAGGGACAGGAACAGGTGGGAAGCAGATCCACAGTACCAGAGTGGGGTGGGTAGGGAAACACAGTGACTAGGCAGGGAGAAGGATGCTGAGAGCCAAAGCCAATTTTTTCTTTTCTTTTCAGGTTTTTCTAGGTTAGGCTTTTAATATGCGGCAGGAACCAGTCTGTTTATGACCTGGAACCCACAAGGTGTGAAATTCTAGGTTAGCAAGCTGCAAACCTAATCTTCTCACAATCTGACTTTATCCAGATAACCAGACATTTTAAACTCAAAAAGGACCTCCGAGATCATTCCACTCCTCACCCCCATCATTTTACAGATGAAGAAATTCAAGCTGAAATGGCTTAAGTACCTCCCCAGGGTCTCATAACAAGTCCAGACTAGTTCCTGGGCTCCCTGTCCAACACTCCAGGAAGAACAAGTAATTATGCTCCTTATAACTGCCACATAACCTCATCTAGAAAATCGGCAACAACTGACTTTCAGAAGTTGCAAGAGGTTTCCCATTCGGTTAACCACAAATCAGGTCTTAAATACATATTTATCAAAAGTAACTCACAGAAATAAATTTGTGTAAATTGTAGGTAACATAACAAACCACAACATTACCAAATAAACCACAAGTTAAACTAAAGATTATTTTAGCGTTTCTATGATCGAGGGTGGGTTTCCTGGACCGGGCCCCCTCACCGTCCTCTCCCGAATGCCGAGGAAATGCGGCGGCCCCCGGGGGCAGCTGGCTGAGCAGAACCACGAGCGCAAACATCGTCGGGAGCCGTCAAACTAAAACAAAATAACAAAACGCGTCAAAAAAGGCCTGGCTCAGCACTTCGAGATCCCGGGGGAGCCGGTCACCGGCGGTGGTCGTGGAGCCCCACGAGGACAGCGGCCCGCGCGCCGGCCCGACCCGACCACGGCCCAGTGCACCTGGCGAGCCCCGGCTTCGCGTTCGGGTCGGACCCGGTCCCGGGGCGGCCCTGCCGAGCGAGCCGCTCCCCACGGCCGCACCTGCAGCTCCGGCGCACATCCCAGGGCCCCGGCCCCCCCGCCGCGGACCCGGACCCCCCGTCCCAGGGTCCCGGACCCCTCGTCCCGACCCCGGACCCCTAGTCCCGGCCCCGGACCCCCCGTCTCGGCCTCGGACCCCCAGTCCCAGGGCCCCGGACACCCCGTCCCGACCCAGGACCCCTAGTCCCAGGGCCCCAGACTCCCCATCCCGTCCCCGGCCCCCCCGCCCCGGACCCGGACCCCCCGTCCCAGGGTCCCGGACACCCCCTCCCGGCCCCGGACTCCTAGTCCCAGGGCCCCAGACTCCCCATCCCGGCCCCGGACGCCCCGGTCCCGGCCCCGGACCCCCCGTCTCGGCCTCGGACCCCCAGTCCCAGGGCCCCGGACACCCCGTCCCGACCCCGGACCCCTAGTCCCGGCCCCGGACTCCTAGTCCCAGGGCCCTAGACTCCCTATCCCGGCCCCGGCCCCCCCGCCCCGGACCCGGACCCCCAGTCCCAGGGCCCCGGACACCCCGTCCCGACCCAGGACCCCTAGTCCCGGCCCCGGCCCCCCCGTCTCGGCCTCGGACCCCCAGTCCCAGGGCCCCGGACACCCCATCCCGACCCAGGACCCCTAGTCCCGGCCCCGGACTCCTAGTCCCAGGGCCCTAGACTCCCCATCCCGGCCCCGGACCCCCCGTCCCGGCGCCGGACCCCTAGTCCCAGGGCCCCAGACTCCCCATCCCGGCCCCGGAGCCCCGGTCTCGGCTCCGGACCCCC